CAAAGTGGTACTAATTTAAATTATTCTTATTGTATTACCTTACGGTAACATTGTCAATATTACCTATTAATAGACATAAACAAACTTTGACACCTATATAAAATAATAATAATAATAATATGACTGCAGAAAAAGAGTGCAAATTGAATTTGCACTTCTGATTCCCATTCCCTCAACTTTGCAATACAATATGATTAATAATAATAATAAAATAATGATAATATGACATATATGCATATAAACAATTGCAGCGATTGAGGCAATCAATGCTTACATGCTGTTCGCCGTTCTTCTTTTCGATTGTTTTTCTTCTCCCGCTGTGCGCCTACTTTCTTTTGCTTTCTTCTAATGATTTTTCTAGTACCCTAATTATTATATTTGCTTGATATAAAAATAGTAAAAGTGCTCCACTATTAGTTTTAATATTATTTTCTCTAACCACTAACTAAATAAATTATTAAAACTACCCCACTAATTTCATAATTATAATTATGAAATAGTTTAAAATACCCATTTAGAATCTAACGAAAAATATTTTATGAAACACAAGGCTTTAACTCTCAAAACGACCAAAAGGGTCGTTACAATAGATACCAATTTACCCATCGTTCGTCCTCGAACAATCCAAAGGAAGGCAATGCAAGAAAGGGTAGTTGTCTCAGAAGTTCATTCAAAATAGTACTACCCTTGGTCTTATACCAAAAGTGTTAAACCAGTCAATTGAAGATCTACACCTCCTCACAACAATACCTTAAATGGGTCTATCTCACTACTCGAGGAATAATTATTGATGTACTAAACTCAACTAACAACAAAACTATTTCTAATAATGGATTTTTCAACTGATCTATTCTCCAACTAGAGCTTGACACAACCATCTGAACAAATATTATCTTACATAACCACGATAAAATTTTAAAGCAAAAGTGGCTACAACTAGAAGTGGATTTTAACCAACTACCACACACTCATAATGCACAAACCATCACAGATCCTATCAGGATTTTCTTTTCACAACCCAATCTCATCACAAACTTAAGTGATGAAAATATTAGCTTTAGACATCGATTACTCATCAAGGGAGAGTCAACATATCTAACCCAGGGAAGAATAATATCAAGTAAACACCAACAAGGGATACACTTCAAAATGAAGAACCTCGAACATTACTATTAGGCAATTGTAACTCTTCATAGCAGCTCTTATACAGATTCTCATAAGCAAGTTTGTGCGTATAGAACTACTGATATACTTTAGCTATTCCAAACAACACCAATTATATCATAACTAAAATATCAAGTTTGACCAAGGATCCTACCCTATCAAGAGGACACAAGAGGATCTTTACATCCGATTCACCACTAAAAATCAACCCATAGATGTGAAAACACGTGTGGACGTAAAAAAATGAATCATACTCTAAATCACACCCGAAATGAAGTAGTTGTTCATGTAAGAGTGTATATAACCAAGGTCGAATAACTTCAGATATATTTTTATTTCAATAGTTTCCATATCAAACGTCTTCATTCATCTGACTCTATCTCTTTGATTTTCTAGCTATCCACAATCACCAATTTAGTCCCTATTATAATTGCACACATACTTACTTTATCGAACCCTACATCCACTGAAGTCGACACTTTTAGTACTAACAAAACATCATAACCACATCGATCATCTACCTTACTCCCAAACCACCATCCTTATCTTCTATTTAAGCATATCATGACAATTACGAGTTCCAAACAAGGCTACTAACATTATTTAAAATTCGATAGTACCTTTTCATCATGATAAACTATTAAATCAAACCATAAGTCAACCTCACACCACTTCCACATATCATGCTTTAGCTACCATTCTAAACCATCACATACCTCATGCCAACACTTAGGAAGTTTCTTGGTCATTCAAATTATTATGTATCCTATTAGCTCATAACCTCTATTCACCATTAAATATCTATTTAACGCAT